GGGGGGGGGGGTTCCACAGTTTATAGATAATTAATATAAACTATACATTATATTGTAATAGTTACGTCCTTATGCAGTTTTTGGAGGAAGTTGAATTAAATATATAATGTAATAATCGTATAGTCTTATGTAATATTATATATATACCTATATATTGTATTTAGCATTATAAATGATAAAGTATTGTTATAAAATAAATTCCAGTTGTCTCGATTTTTTGGCCAACTCCTCTATCACTTCATCAACAGTAATATCAACTTCCCTGTGAATGTTTAACACAGGGGCGTCATTTGGGGGATTCAGACTATACATTGACAGCCCTATTTTTTTAAATGTTTGATTGGCCCGTATAAAATGTTATAATTGCGCCGTCGTCGATAAAATGTAAGATGCAAACGCGCTGTAATGGTGCGAGTTTTTCATAAGAACCCATTGTCCTATTGAAGTATTGAAGAATTTTTTTAAATTCCGCTAAATAAACAGGATATATAAATGGCCTGGTGGAGGGAACAATTGGCCTGATTCAAATGTTTGCATCCCTATTGAAAAGTTGAAATGACGCCCCTGGTTTAACATAGCCAATTCTACAAATATGTAAGAATTTGTTTATTTTTGATTTTTTGGAGAGGTTCTGGGGGGGGGTCCAGTACTCCTGGACCCCTCTTGTAAAAACGTCCCTGCCTGTAAGACCTTCTGGCTACGCACCTATTTTAAATAAACTAATATCCGCTATGGCAAATGGTTGGAATAATATAGTTTCAAACAATTATTATATTCTACATCATATTTCTAACTATCTGTCAACCATCCATCCCAACTCGCTTGGAGGGTAAATCGTCTCCGACAATCGAGAAGTCTAATGTTACAATATTGTTTAAATGAATCATCGTGAAACCGTTAAATTTAATAGTTAAAAAACAAAACAGCGAGTTATTATTATGGTAATTTATTATTGAGTGTATCATACCGAACAGTTACGTAATTATATTATATATACAATGAAAATAAACCATTATTGTACTATCATTAAACAAGCAAACATCTCAATTATTAACTGTACAAAAGATCTGAGTTTTTAAAACATCCAAATCGCATGATGTAATGTTAAACAAAGTATGCATAAATGCAATAATTATATATATAAATATATATACAAACACACAAAAAATCGTACGAGATGGGTGTGTTTGGTGAATTATTCTGTAGGCACAGTCATATCTAATTGCGTGCGCCTAAACAATTGTTAAAATAACATAATATAAATAGTAAATGCGCTCGCATAAACAATTACCGACCACGTTAATAGTAATAATAACAATAAATACGATAATGGTGACTTCGGAAACTGTATAGTTATAATTTACGGATTATAAACAAAAAAAAAAAAATAGGCAATGATAAAAACAAAAGGGTAAAAGTAATGTGCATTATTATTGTGCCTATTCGCATTACAAAAGAGAACAATAGTCGACCTTAGGACAAATATACATTGGATCAAATGACAGAGCGGTTGTCGTGGTGCAGTAGTGGTATATGTTCACTTGAGACGCGCGCGCGCACACAGCTTTAATCCCTCCTCCGTCGGATGATAACGTTGCTTCAAATTTCTGATTGCAAAAAAATATTAATCCATTTCCGACGTCCGTCCGAACGTTCCGCTCTTCGGCTACTTCGGCCCGCGACCCGCTACAGTCTTCCATACGCATTCACCGCGTCAGCAGCTATTGTCTGATCTCCCGAGACTCGCTAATTTGTGAGATTCCCACTGCCCGAGAGCGATATAATTTCAATACACGAAAATGGTGGTGAAGGTGTACATTTCCGGCATATCGGGTAACAAGGAGGTAAGTCTCGTCTCGTACACGGTGACGTTGACGACGGCCGTATCGTCGGTCATGCATCTCATCATAGATGTGGTGTCCATTGGATGATTAAGACTAATGGCGTCCGGTCGATTTTCCTTCTGTAGGTGAAGAAACGCCAACAGAGAGTTACCATGATATTGGACAGCAAGAGTATAACCTACGATCTAGTGGACATCACAGAGCCAGGCAAAGAGGATGAAAAGACGTATATGCAAACTAACAGCAAGTCTAAGGATGGGTCAAAAAATGCATTGCCACCTCAGATTTTTAACGACGACGTATATTGTGGGGTTAGTATCTATTGGAATGTTGTCAATAGTGCCAAAACATAAAGAGTGATTAATTTTTTAAAGCTATTAAAACGTATAGCAATTGAGTGGTTTGACACAATGACAATTGGTTTATTGTAGTTATTCAAATTCTTGTTTTATTGTTTATTCATTTCTTTGTATTGGATACTATTAAATCAGTTTCAGAATTAGAAAGTCATTTTTACCATATTAGGATAATGTATTTCTCTTTTTTCCATATCTATCTTGTCATGCTCTACATCCACAATTAAGTTTATTTCAATTTAATAAGGAATATTTTACATTGATATTTTTTTATTATTACATTTTAATATTTATGCTATACATGAGTATTTTTTGATTATATCAAAAAAAAAGAGCTTTTCCTGATTTTTTCTGTTTCTGTAAATATATTAAGACCATTACATAACTATAATAGTTAAGTACTTATAGTAAATGAATGAGTAATAATTAAACTATTTATATTTACTGTTTAAATTTGATAAGTTGTAGAATCTAGATGATCAAAATCTTAACTTTTATTTTTAAAAAATAATTTGTTTCTAATTTTTCTAATGAAGTTTGACTATATTTGGTATATTCATGCCTAATACATAATAAGGCATATAATCAATTTAATTGTAATATAAACTTATAGCTGGATATCAATTAACCTCTTAATTTTTCCAATTGTACAGATATATGACATAACATATTTTGAACACATTATAATTAATGCATATTTATTAAAAAAAATTGTGAATTCTCATTTTAATATTTGGATGACTTATAGACCAACAGTACACCTTTTCTAATTAATTGATTTTATCTAAAAATTTAAAATTTTTTTTTATATTTTTTCCTAGAACTATTTTCTATGATTGGATTTATATAAATGATCAATATTTTTGTAAATCTGACTTTCTGTATGTTCTACAAAAATAACTACTTTTTCGTATCATGTTATGTTTTTACTCAAAATAATAATTTTTTGTATGGTTTTTTTTTATTATTATATAAATGTTGTTTTATTATTAATATTATTTGAATATTGTTTTCTTATTTTTTAAGCTAAAATTATTCAATACTTGTTAGAATTTTAATACAATTTATTATTATTTCTGTTATCTGCTGTAAAAAAAAGCATTAGGAAAATTGTTACAAAATAGTTAATCTGTTTAAAATAAATAATATATATCTTCATTTTTTTAAATTTAATTTTTCGTTACCAAAAACTATATAAAGAAATAATTATTAAATACATACATTTCAGTTAATATACAGGGTTATTCAAGATGATTCATCTGATTTCAAATGCTTAGATATTTTTATTTTTTAGTCTAAGAACAATATATTATACATTAAATAAAAGAGAAATTGGTCAAGTTTAATTAATTTTACATATAAATGTTCTATATGAGTTCCTCTGGTCACACGAACAATATCTAGCCGATAGTCAATCTCATTCCATATTTCTTATAGCATATATTTTGTAATTAATTCCAAAAGATACATGGATACACGTGGGTCGGCATGTGCTTTTTCCTTTGCCCAAACACCTTGTTTCTTCAAACTGCTAATACCTTTGACGTATGCTCTGAGAATTCGGTACATCGATCCCGTAAAGACCGTGAAAATCGTGTTGCATGGTTATTACCGATTCACATTTTGAAAATCGCAACACTCAAAATGCTTTCTGCTGTTTGGTCAACATATTTACATATAATAACTTATCGCTTAAAAGCAATAATTGTAAAATAAACAATTAATAACATTCTAAAACTTGGGAATACCCTCTATTAATTTGTATATAATTTGATAAGATAAAATGTAGAATTACCATTTTATAGCTATTTGAAATCGGATGAATCATTTTGAATAACTCTGTATAGTACATTGTTTATTTTATAAACAATAAAATAAAACTTTTTAATTATTGGCAGTTTTTTGATTTTTCAATATTTTATTTTATTTAATTGTATTTATGAAAAATTCAATTAATATACTTGCAGGACTATGATGATTTTGATACCGCAAATGAAATGGATGAATTAGATAAATTTTTTGATATTTCTACCAAAAGTCCACCTAAAGAATTGAATGGCTCAATTAGTGTAGTAAGTAATGAATTAATATTGTATGCTTTTTTAAATAAATATTTTGATTGGATTGAATTTGATAAGTAATAATTTAATAACGTTTTTAAGGAAGAAACTAAAGTTGAAATCACAAATGGAGATAATGATAAAAATAATGGGTAAATATATTAAAATAATTATATTTTTTTTCATTTACTTAATTTATGTTTTTACATAATATACTTAATGCATAAAACATAAATATGTTATATCTTTCAAATACTATTATTTTATAAGACAATTTAATTTTAAATATACATATACAAACATATATATTTATATGTTTTATTCAATTTTGTTGAATATATTTAAAATGTATTTTAAAACCATGTTTATTTTTGAATGATTTTAGAGGTAATTTAAATTTAAATGATACTTAAAATTATAATTTTGTTCTAATTTATATCTATTAAAATTGAGCTTAAATTGGTACAATTTGTAGAATTGTAATAGAAAAAAATAATGAAGAACAACATAAGCCTTTGACTTCTGATGAGGAAGATAGTGATAGTGAATCGCTTGACACAAAGGTGACAAGCAATTATTTTAAAATAAATAATTACTAAAAATTTGTTAACAAATTTATTATTTACTAAGATACTTCTGGTTTAGTTTTTAACAGAAATTTCCATTGTACTATATATAACAAGTAACATTTATTTATAAAGTATATTTATATAAAATGTATGAAAATGTTTGCAATTAATTATTAAAAAAAAATAAACCAAACTTTAACATTTGTGTTTATTAATATTTAAAATATTAATTATCATAAGACTAACTGTTTTTTAACTTATTAAAACAAATTTAAAAAGTTTTAGTAGTATATGTAGTATTACATACTTAAAATATTATATTGCTACTTAAATTTGTGTTTTATCATAACTTAATTGATTTTTTTTTATTGGTCATCTATAATATTTTAATGTTTGAGAGTTTTAGTATTATTATAACTGCATTCTAACTTTATGATTTTAATGATAAGCAATAAATAAACTTTAATATTTTATACTGATTTCAGAACAAATTAAAGGATATAACAGAAAGTCCAAATTCCATCCCACTTCCTGATGACATAAATGTATTATTGGATATCCCAGAAACAAAACAAGAATTGCTTTCAGAAACCGAAGAGGAAATCGAAGAGTGAGATGTTTAACCTACTCAAAATTATTATTAAAGAGAAAAATGTACAAAATTACTTTAATTTTTGATGCTCTATCTCTATTATCTAACAAGTTTTGGTTTTATTTATTTTTCCTTAACAAAAGTTACTATGTTTTTTTAGTTTAAAATCTCAAGTATAATATTAATTAATTAATATTTTTTTTCTTTTCAATCTTCAGTTATAACAAGCTTATAGTTGTGTCTCATATATTTCTTTATGACTGAGATTTATTTAGATGTATGTATAGATTTGCTGTAAGAATAGAACAATTTTAAAATTTTAATTGATAGCCTAATTAATACATTAATGCTTTACATACATTTATAATTATTACTATATATATAACATTTATTTATTTAATGTTTCAAATTATACAATTGTTATACCAATGAAGGCAATAATTTGTTGTCAGCTCATAATTAATTGTAATATTTATTAAATGCCTTATTTAATTATTAATTTATTGTTTACTTCTATACCGAATTGTATATAATACTTTATTTTATTTATTTATCGAGGCAAGGAATGCTTTTTTTTTTTAAAAAAAAAGAACCAGCATTTGACTGTATTATTATAATATCTAAGAAGTTATAATTAATGAAAATAAACTATTTTTATTATTATTTATATCATTTTTTTTTTACATAAAATTATTTTAATGACAAATTTGCATTGATTATTTCTGTATTACAACAAAAAAATGAGCATAATGTTTACCTTATTTTTGAGTATTAAAAGCTTTGCTAATTATATTGTTTAGTATCAGTGCTTGTAAGACAATAGTAACATGTTCAATAATTGTATTGGCTGTTGTTCATTTTAGAAAAGTTTGAAACAGGTTGATATATAATTATGTTTGTTTAATATATATAATTAGAAAATATTTCAATTGGAATAATAATTTTATTCTCATCATTCACTGTAATTATTAACACTTATAATATTTATTAGTGTTTGCGTCAGCTATTTATAAAAGTTATAATTTAAAGAAAAAAAGTATAATCAAAGCACATGAATAGCTTAAAATAATAATCAATATAAATGACCATTGTCCATATTCATGTTATTTTATAATCACCAATTAAACCTTGTTATATGCAAGACAACACCAAAAAAAAAAAAATCGAAAATCTCGTAAGTTGGTCAAACAATCTATGTCAAATTGACACTTTTATAAACATTAAGGTTTTATACCTAAAAATCACCACTAGATAAAACAAATCATCAAATTAATTACAACAAAAACAATAACCACAAATGGCAAGACCTGGGTTTTAATAGAAAAGATGAAACTATTTTGAACCGCTTCCAAATAAGGCATACTTTTACAACACACAATTACATCATGATCAGAAACAACCCCTCTACAAGTGAATCATACGTAGTGGATTATATAGATATACTAACCGAATACTTCAAGTTTGAAGACTCAAGAAACAAACACTATATATCTTATCAACTAGGAGAAGCCCTACAATCCATAAAATATCATCATCATTTATTAAAAGAAATAAAATCATATAACCTAATATATACATAAAATTAACTAACTGTAATCCATATGTAAATAAAATTTTAACCAATTACCAATGGTTTTAGTAACAAATGTAATTATGATCAATAATATAAAATAAAAAAACATGATTTATATAACTTATACACAAAAACAATTAATCAATCAGTCTAAATTTAATTGAAAATCGTAAAATATTGATTCACACATTAACTTGTTATACTTAAAAGGGCATATCTATACTGATTTGTACTGGGGTTTCGAACAAGCACATAAGGTAAGTTTGATTTGCACTCTGACCAGAGGTTAAATAGTTCCAACAGTGCTGGGCCAGGCATGTAACCAATGCCAACACTTTTAAATTTGGAAAAACTGAAATGACTTTGGCAGGAAAAACCCAAAATAACACGACTGCAACTGTTTTTCAATGATAACTGTTCCTCAGGAATCCATAGTTTTCTCATCTGATTTAAATATTCTTTGACTATTTGTGATGTTGGAGATATTTTATTTTTAACCCGTTTACAGAGCGTGTTTCTCTTTTTTTTCTCGGATATTCTTTTACGTCTAAGAGATCTCAAAAGCTTTTTATGTTCCAAACGATAGACCTTGCGTTTAAAATCATTCAAATCTTTATGTATTTTTTCAAGAGGACCCAAGTTAGATTCAGTTTCCAATTTATATAAATCATTGGAAGTTGGTAAACACACATGTGAATTGGATTTCAAAATACCTTTATGTAAAATTGTAAGTGATATGGGAATTAAACAATGTTCAAAGTCAGAAAATTCAGTCTTTAATTTATTAACATCAATTTTTTCCTTCAGTTTTGATGTTAAGTTTTGTAGATAAGTCAATACTTTAATATTTCGCAGCACAATAATTTTATTATAGTTTGACATCCATTCATTGCAGAGAATATCCCAAGGACAATGAAATGGAGTTTGAAAACCTAATTTAATGTAGTTATTTCGCATTTGTGGGGGAAGTTTAAAGTGTTTTTGCATTGCTTCTTCTTTTTCTTGCACTGCTCTTATTTTCCCTGCATCAGTATCAGGTCCATCTGATTGTGGCAAACACCGTTCTATAACCATGGTTGTAGTATCTCTTAATCCTCCAGGTTGACAGCCATTCATAATTAACCCCAACCAAAATGGCATTGCCCATTTTGCGGGCAACACAATATCCCAACCACTTCCATATCCTTAAACAAACAACATTTTTGATTTAATAATTTGATATAAATAATAGAAATGTTATAAAATACCAGTTCGATAAATTGGTTGGCACTGTCCAGGTCGTTGAATTAAAAGTATAGGAATAACAGACATTGAATGTTCGTCCAGTGCAATTTTATCATTTCCAGAAATAACATATTTACTACGTAATGTATTAATTTTACAATTTGACATCTTATTCTGAGTTGACCATTTTCGTACCATTGAATCCCAAATCTTAGAGTAACTTGCTGCAGTTGGAAGTGTTAAAGAATAGTCATCTGACAATAGAAAATCTAAGAAAAATAATTTGAAACTAATTAATTTGGTTTTTCCTTTACTATTAAATTGTAAATTATGCATGGAATATAAAAAACCTTTTGAGCTGGGTATAGCTTTTGTTCTCTTCTTTGGAAACACCAACCTTGGATCTATAGTATGAAATCCTATCACACAGTTTGATGGGTATGATTCTGGTCTATTGGCACCACTTAAAGATTCCCAAAGTTCTTTTTGGATATTACAAGAAGTTCTAAAATTTTTCAAATGTGAACTCCACCAATCTCCTTCATCATAATTGTTTGAATTAATTAAATCTGCAGGATACAGTACATGATTCAAAACACTATTCGACAATGGTCCAGTCAGTCGTAACCGATTCAGAGTGTCTTTTAATAAATTCATCTTAATAGCACCATTAGTATAAGAAAAGCCATTCTCAGAAACTTCTGTAACTTTTAAATAATTGGCAGTTTCAACAAGTTTTGGTTTTTTTAGAACTGGCGGTTCCCACTCTAAAAACTCAGAATCTACTTGTTTAAAATTAAATGTAATTTGTAGCTCATTGGCTACCTGTTTATAAATTGAAGGCTCAGTCCAAATCCACAGTGTTCTTGTATCTTCTTCAATATAAGTATCCCAAAAAAATGATACTCTACCAATAGCCTCATATGGATAAGCATCATGTCTATACATGAATATTGATCCTTCTCTAGTTCCTCGTTCATAACATTTAGCTTTAAATGTACGTCCACAATCCTGATTAACATGGTGCATTAACCCTTCAACAATTTGATCATAGGGTCCTTTTAATTCAATACAACTTATGTAAGATATATCCTAAACCAATAATATAATAATTGATGCATAAATGTAATGAAGAATTTTATATGAATTCTTACCTGAACTAAACAATGGTTTCCTATTGCTCTGTAACATGCTCTGTATGTCTTATCATGTGAGTGCTTTGGTAATTTATATCCATCTTTGAGCACCATATGAAATCGTTTTGCAAACCATACATGAGTTTCTAACCAAATTCCATTTTTTTGACGTCGTAAGTAGTCTAAACGGCGAGTTTTGGATCTACATCTATAATCTTTTCTTCGTCTTACATGTTTATTAATTTGCTTTTCGATCTAAATAATATTTCAATACAATTTTAAACATTTAATGTATAATTATTCTTTGAAGATAATCACCGATTTTTTATGAGCATCTTGTAAATCTTTTGGCATTCGCTTTACGGTTGTGCTCATCACTCGACGACGCATTTTTTTTGGAAGACGTTGGAATATCATTTTATTGTTCTTTCTTGGAGTATCTAAAAACATTCATTACATTTCATAATTTTTCATTGGTTATAATATGATTTTTTAATTGCTTACTTATTTCCGTGAGTAAGGCTTGTATTTCCTGATTGCGTGCAGAAATGAATGAATCAACGTCAATTTGATTCCCTGGTCGGATGTGGCCATCGGTGTTTTCCAACATTTTATGAAAATGATCCATAACTTTTGGATGGGAGAATGACAAAGGAAATTGAAAAACACGTATGAAAACGAACACAAGTTTATCGCGTATAATTAAAAATGTTATTTTATTATTTTCGATTGACCATTATAGATACGAAATGGACACAAACCGGGAGAACTGGCGCGCACATGACATACGCAATTCTAACGTGTTTTCTACTGATAACGGACCACGGTCGGAATTCAGTGATAACATAAGGGGTGGACACCTTTGGGCGGCGGTCACAGATATCTATATTAATATCTATAATATAGATATCTGTGGCGGCGGTCCAATAACAGATAATCAGTCGACCACGACACTAATGGTAAACAATGGGAACATGCATACGACAAAGTAAAGAATTTTTAAGTTTGATTTATATTAACAATGAGTATAGTAATGATCAGTACTACGTTTTTATATTATCGGGATTAAAAGTTTTAAGTTTATCGTTTGATTTTTATTGTATAAAGGATTCCAATTTTTTGCCGTGAATAACTGGTCAAACTGGCTTTGCTGTTAACCTTCGATGTCATGGCCGACTGATTCAAGCCATAATGGTTGCCCTATGCTGTCTGTGTAAAATGTTATCAGTGTTCATTCTAATTGTTATATTATTCCGTAGATATAGATATAAGTTATATTATATATCTATGTATTATTCTAATTATATTCCGTAATAACATCAACATTGTCGCTGTTTTCTTTCTTCCATGACGAATTGCCGGAAATTTTATCAATTTCTATATCGTCATCACCACCACTGCAGAAAAAAATAATTATTTTGCAATACGGTTCCGGTTTGCCTGTTAATAATTTCTGCCACGAAAGTTTTGCCGATCAGTTCTCGGTCATTTCCGACTTCCGAGAAACGTCTGGAACTCAAATCCCAAGTAAGTGTTTGTTCAATGAACTTTTATTTTTCTTTTAAATTATTGGCGAGCAGTTATTAGCTGACAATTGGTGGCTGACTAAAATCGGGGTTGACTCGTTGAATTGTGAGTTTGTAAAGAAATTTAATCTCATCAATGTTATAATATCCCTAACAATTCAAAAATTAATGGGAAAACCATAATTGACCAGTGAATGTTCACATATTTTTTGTTTTTACTCTTATCTGATAATCAGTCTTTAAAAATATTAGTTAAATGTATATCTATTTCCAAAAAAATCACTGATTTTTGTAGATTTAAAAAAATGGCTTTATATAATGTATGGAAAATTAATGCAGATGATTTAAAGATGTTCAGAATTTTTCATTATATTTAATTAAAATATAATGTTAGTTGATCTAAAACGGTTGTTTTGGTAATTACGCATAGTTTTCTACGTATTTCTTTAATAAAAATACACTTCTAATCTTAATACATACATTTTTAACTTAATTATATGATAAATATTTTATTTAATTTATAGTAATTTGTTATGTATTATTTTTTTATTTTTAGAATGATCACAGATGTACAACTAGCTGTATTCGCTAATGTCTTAGGAGTTGGCTTATTTCTACTTGTGGTACTTTATCACTATGTTACGGCAAATTTTCCATCAAAATAATTTGTCATTGTAAGTACTCATAACTTAATTTATTGTAAAATAACAAAATATTATTTTTATTAATTTTTTTGTAGGTTTCAAGTTCACATTATATGTTATGACTTTTCAAGTACAGTAAAACCTCGCTATTACAATATTATTTTATGAAAATTTTTATATTTTTCAATTTAATATGTTTATATTTATTATGTTAGTTGTAGGATGTGCTAATAGTCTAAAATAGGTAAAAATTTTGTTTAATACATTCTTATATTTTTGTAAATAAGGCTGCTCTATTCATAGTACATTATTAAAAAAATTTGTATTAAGACTTCTGTAGGTTTTGTTTAGTATCATATTTTTTTGTATGAGTATATGCAGTTTTTTATGTGTTCAGTATGAGTTCTAAAATATCACGCAAAGCACTTACTATAACTGAAAAGTTATCAATTTTAGAAAAGTATGATGCTAATACTACATTTACAAAAAAAAAGCTAGCAAAATTGTTAAATATTCCAGAATCAACATTACGAACAATAATATACAAAAGAAAAGAAATTGAAAGTAATGCTTTTAATGGACCAACTAAACGAAAGAAAATAAAATTTGGGAAATATTTCACACTAGAAAAAATTCTAGTAGAGTGGATTCATGAAGCTAATGTTTATTCTGTACCTATTAATGGTCCCATTATCCAAGAAAAAGCCTTGGAAATTTCCAAATTATTGAATATTAAAGATTTCAATGCAACTAATGGATGGTTAGATCGATTTAAGAATCGACACCATATTGTTTATTCCCGAATCAACGGTAAATTCAAATCTGATGTTGATAATAAACTTTGGTTTTTAAACCTCATGTCTAAGTATACCAATAAATATGCTTCAAAAGACATTTTTAATGCTTGTGAGTTTGGATTGTTTTTTAAAGTAATGCCTGATAAATCAATTATGTATAAAAATAACAAATGTTCCAATGGTGAACTAAGTGAAGAACGTCTTACTGTGCTTATCTGTGCTAATTCTGATGGGACAGAAAAATTGAAGCCACTTGTAATTGGAAAGTCGTTGCAACCTAAATGTTTCACAAATATCAAAACTTTTCCATGCGAGTATATTGCACAAAAGCAAGTATGGATGACTAGTGAACATTTTAGTTCTTGGGTCAAAGAGTTAGATTTAAAAATGGGAGAAAAAAATCGTGAAATTTTATTATTTCTGGATAGTTGTCCTGTTCATTCCAAAAATATTTCATTAAAAAACATGAAATTAGTGTTTTTTCCAGAGAATGTCTCAAGCAAACTTCAACCTATGAATCAAGGTATAATTAAAGTCTTGAAACGATATTATCGAAAGCATTTATTTCTACGATATTTAAATGTTATTCAAAACTCAAACATTAAACCACTCAACATATTGGATGCATTATATTATATAACTGCTGCGTGGAATAGCATACAGCCCCAGATAATTGCTAATAGTTTTAAGAAAGCTGGAATTAGCATGTCTTGTGGTGAACTTGTTGATAATGCTAAATCAAATGACTTAGAAGATGAATCGTTTAAAAACACTCAAATTAATTTTGAAGAATATGTTGAAGTGGATGAAAATCTAATTACCTATGAGCCAAATTTACAAAATTCTAAAAAAGAAGTTAATTATGTTCATAATGAAAATAATGGTGAAGAAGATGATGATTCAACAATTGAGGTTTTACCTACATTATCCTGTACAATGAATGCTATCAATGTAGTAAGGCGTTTTATTTCTACATTAGAAAAAAGTGAAGCAGCTATGTATAATATTAACTGCGTTGAGAATGAAATTGTACGTAAACAATCAAACTTGTTATAAAAAATGTTACTCGAGATTAAAATAACATAAGAAAATTGTTCAATTTCATAGTATTTTGTAGGATTAAATTATCTTTTAAATACATCATACATTTCACATTAAATAAATTGGAAACATTTAATAATAAATGCTTAATGTAAAATCTCACATAAATATGATTTTCCTATGATCTCTTGATAAATGTATATGAGGTTTTACTGTATGTAATTTAAAATGAAAAGTTACTATCCAACAGTAACTAATCAAAGTTATTTTTTACTTAATAGAATTTAAAATATATACTCCTAGTCCCAGATCACATTTACAGCTTTTACAGATTACAATTTTTCATCAAATTTACTAAGTACATAAGTATATAATTGTATATTCTATGTATAATATTTGTATACAGTTGTTGACTAAGATAATATTTGTTATAAATTTTAATCATTGATACAATCTTCCAAAAAAAATGTTTTGATTTAAATTGCGAGGTAAGTTCCGTTTGGCAATAAAAACATGTAAATGTGTAAATTTTAAAATAATTTTTATTTGAATATAAAATACAAGTACAACCTTATTTTTCAACATAGTTACTACCATTGTTTAAGCATTTATCATATTGGGATACTAGTTTTTGTATCCCTTCATCATAGAAAGATGACGCCTGTGATTGTAACCATGCGCTAACAGCCTTTTTCACCTTATCATCTTCGTTGAATTTCTAGCCACCCATAAATGATTTCATGTGTAAAAAAAGATGAAAATCACTGGGTGCCTAATCTGGACTGTAGGGCGGATGATTAAATTGTTCCCATACAAAATCTGCAAGTTGTTTTGTCACATTTGTTGTGTGTGGCGGTCATTGTCGTGGATGAAAACTATGTCACGGCTAAGCATGCCTCGTCGTTTATTTTTTATTACACTACGTAGTTTTTAAGCGTCTCGCAATAGGAATTTGCGTTGATTGTTTGATCACGCAGTTTTTCGAGTAGTCAGTGTCCGTTTGCTTTTTTTCGTTGATGGCGATGTGGTATATCTCCACATCATACTTTGTTGTTTTGATTTAGGGGTGACATGAGAAACCCAAGTCTCGTCCCCTGTGACAATGCGGCTTAAAAAGTTATCACAGTCATCTTCGTATCGTGACAAAAACTGAAGTACATTACCCTGATGTTTCATTTTGTGTTCATCAGTAAGAATTTTCGGCACCCAACGTGCGCATAATTTTCGAAAATTCAATTTCATTGACATAATTTCATGAAGAAGAGAACAGGAAATTCGAGGAAAATGTATTGATTATGACGTCATGGTGAACCTTCTGTTTTCATGAATTTTTTTTTTTTACTTGCACTAAAACATCATTATCCAAAGGTGGTCGCTTTGTTCGTTCTTCATCGTGAAAATTTGTACGGCTTCCATTGAAAAGTCGCACCCATTTCCTAACCATTGTATCATTCATAACATCTCCATAAACTTCACATATTTGACGATGAATATTAACTGGTTTGATATTCTTTGCATTTAGAAAACGAATCACAGATCGTACCTCACATGGCGGAATTTTCTATTCGTTTATCTATTTTAAAACACTCGCCACGTGACGTACGTATACTAAAGCCCGGTTTACACTTGTCATATTTTATACCCAAGACGTCTGTGTGTCTCGGATCCGTGGCACGGATTATTCTTTGATTATCAAGTAAATAAAATAAAAATAAAAAAATAATATTTATTATTTATTAAATATTATTTAATAATTAAATAATTAAAATAAATCATCGCGTTCACGTTCGTGCTGTTTGTCTCGTACGAGTCAATGATCGTATCCGTGGTGCCACGGACATGTATCAAAATTATCGAACGAAATTCCATCCGATAATAAATATAACTGCGGTAACAATTAATCAATCATTCAGTGCACTTGAAGTTAAAGTTGATAGTGTTATATAATATTATATTTCATCGTATCAAATATCATAGTAGTATATCATAGTAATATATAATATTATTGTAATTAAATAATATAATAATGTATTGTCTAATAAATGTCCGAAAAAAATGGTCTGATGATATGACAATGAAATTTGTAAATATATACTCGACATTAGAAATTTTGTAGTAACATATTCGATGCATCAAACTTATTTCGTTTAAAAACCCATTGCCTAACCCAACATTTTATTTTATTTTTATTTTTACTAGACAAAATTTGTTGTTTATACTCATTAGCTTAAAGTCCACAAACTGAAAGAACGGCATCCGCCACGTCTGGATCCATTTTTAATACTAAAATGTAATTATATAGAACAGCTGTTCTCAACCTGTGGTCCGCGGCCCTCTAGGGGTCCGTGATACTCATTTTGGGGGTTCGCGACAGTTCTAACTCATAAAATACGTCAATACGTGACATGAGAGCATTAATGTAATATTGTTGGATTATTATTATTATTAATTTATTTTTCATATATTTTTTATTATACAATAGATAGATCTTATCTCCATACGATGTTCAAAAACTTGTATCTTAAGTCTAACATCAACCATCACATCAAATTAATTAATATAATAATTAAATTTTAAAAATATTACAAAAAAAAAAAAAAAATAGAACTAAAATAAATAATATTAAATTACTGAAAAATGAACTGTAATAAAAATATTTATAAATATATATGTTTTGTTATGTCTACTAATATAATTTATTATATAAAATCATTTTTATAATTTTGGTTTTAATATCATGAGGTGTTTTGTACAAAAAAAAGTATTCTAAAAAAAAATTCGTAAGGGGGTCGCAATTTCTAAAAATCTTTTACCAAGGGTCCGTGATCTACAAAATGTTAAGAACCGCTGATATAGAATGCATACTCTGACATCGACATTGACAATGTATAGTGTAACGTCAGAATTCGTATCAGTGACCCACGGATTCGAGGCACACGGATATGGTCTCGGATATAAAATATGACAAGTGGAAACGGGGCTTAACTAGTCACGGATAGTAGGATATGACCGTAATTAAGATAACATCGCAAACGCGATAAAAATAGGTAACGGAACTTACTTTCTGGACGTACTTAAATAAATATTTTAAATAACTTATTTATTCTTTACAGTTCATTTATAATTCTATAATGTGCTGGTAGTTTGTATATTGCTAAATTTTTATCTTGTGTCCATCAATATCTCATTTAAAATTTATTGAATTAAGATATATTTTTAATGATTTTAAATTATAACTTTGGTTTGATTTTATTTTAATTAGAAACTTTCAAATAAGTTTATTATATTATGTTTTAATATTTTTTTGTAAATTAACTTCCTAATTCTTTATGAAATGAACATGAATAAGTATAATCATTCAATTAAAAAATATCGTATGACTATGTCATGTACAGTAAGAAAATTTGAGAATAATGTTATACTAGTCAATTTCTTATAAATAAATGATAATTTAAGTGATAATTACATATCAATGTTTATAATAAATATATATAAAAACCCTTTGAAAATAGTTGTCATCATTTTCACTTTTAAATTATTATTTTTACAGAATGCCAACATGAATTACATTCCAGTGACTTGCAACAACTGCGGGTTGGATATCATACCATAGCTTTAATTAAATAATCAATTCTTATTAGAAAATTCAAAATTTGATATGTATTCTTCAAATAGAATCCATTGGTTCAATGGTTGCAGAAATATAATAACAATTGGAAGTAAGAATATATATTCAGATCGTATGAGTTGTTCTAATATAAAATATGAATGGCCTTATCCATGAGTTTCATTTTACCAATTTATAAATATATTGATTTATATAAAAAGTCAATAAATAGTTTTTAATATTATTATTATTATTATTATTATTATTTTTCCATAGTTTAAAATTAATTAAATATAACTTATTTGGTAAACTATGAATACAACTGCAATGTAAAATATCTAATTATTAAATTTATGCTTAATTATATTTTGTTTTATAATTAGTAATTCCCTTTCATTTATTTAAGCCTGTTATAATTTTTCATATAAAATATTAATTTGACTGTTATGTATAAGAATTATGTATCAAATATACTTATATGATTTTTCATAATTTTTTGCAATAAATTCCAGTTCTAAAAAAAAAAAAAAAGCTTAGGTTAAAATTTATGGTATGATTAATAAATTTTTAATTTTGATTCAATAATTTTCAGTTTTTAAAAAATTTTATGACTTCCTATAAATTTTTTGATTAATTTTTTTTAATTTTTTGTATTCATAAAGAACTTTTTATAAGTTTTCAATTAAAACAGGTGATAAATTATTTTATTAATGGATTAAAATTCAAACCAAAATATAAATTTTTTTACTTTTACTTAGATAAACTTCTAGCGTTTATAAGCAACTAATAGGGATTATCATTTTATCCAAGTGGATTGACCTAAAACTTGTTTAGCCTGGTTGGATTCAACAAGTATTATATTTGGGTGTTATTCTAACAATGTAAGAGTGTAAGTTAGCTAGATGGATGGGTAGATCTTACCACTAGAGATAAAATAGGGGTCCTCTTTCGATTTTTTATACTGACGATTTTTTTTGTTAGACAAGACATTAAAGCGGATGTAGGTTCTATGAAAGCAAGGGCAGATTCAATATTTATTTACAGTCAAGGGCGTCCATATGGGGTGCAAGGGAGGGACATGTTCCCCCCCTGGAAAATTTCAAAAATCTTGGAAAATTGATTACAATGATAAAAAAATATTTATTTAAATAGAATTTAAAAATATATATGAAAATCTATAATTTGTTTATGAAAAATCTATTTATTTAGTTTAGAAAATCAAGTTATCACTATAATTAACAATACGCTTTTTCGTTTCTATTCTATGGATCATTATCAATTCTTAAAATATTGTGTATTTCCAGAAATACGGTATGTGTGTGTGTGTAAACAACCATAATATTTATATTATTAATTAAATAAAAATTTCAATAAATTATTTTTATGGTAAATTGGTTAAATAATTATTATTTTATAGTCTTCCAGTTTGATATATATTATGTAATAGTTTAATGTAAAGTTGTAAACCCCTTCCTATATCGTGGGTCATTCCTATTTATGAATAGATTGATAAATTAAAATGTTGTCCTCCCCTTGAAAATTTTCCTATGGACGCCTTTGTTTACAGTCTGGGCATTTTATAGAATAAATAATATAATTATCATCTGCGTATGAAGTGGTGCCTTAAAAGAAGGATCATAGACTTCAAAAATGATGTGACAAATTAATGTTAATGTAATGAAGGTTATACATTTTTATTATATATCTAGTTATTTAGTGTAGGATTTATTTAGGATTTATTTGGAAGTAGTTTACTACTTTAGTACTACTTAGTAATTAAAATTAGAAAAATAGAGTAAAATGAATTAAATTCACTATTGGAAATTCATAAAAATAATTGAATATATTATAAAAATAACTGTTATAAATGGGTACCACCGTATTATAGAGATTTGGCAAAAGTGTAGGTATAGATTTAAGTAACTATCATAGGCGTACGCAAACTTGTATTTCAGAGAGTGCCTACACTAATTTTAGACCCTATCTTCAAAAAACATGTTGGTATATTTAATAAACAGTAGATAATATATAAATAATTCAAAAAACATAACTTTAATTTTTATTTAATATTGTGTTATATTAGTCTTAATGAATATGTTTTCCTTGAATCTCGTATATTTTTCTCAAATAGCTCAAATTATTTATGATTTGTACTTTTGTGGTAAATGGTAGTTGTATTACAATAATAAGTTTTTGCTCGAAAACTTAGAAAATTTAGTTTCATTTTTTTTACTATGAAACATAATTTATATTTACCAATTATTTAAGAATAAATAACATTTAATATGAACACAATCAGTTAAAATATGAACCTATTACTCTTAGACTTAAGCTGTAGGGTCCCATTTACAAGATTTCAGGGGGATTCTGGACAAAACCGGCATCCCCCGTGCGTACACTTGTTGTAACTATGTAGGTAGTCATGTGGTGACAGGATTATTTGCAAGGGGAAACATGCATTTTTGGTCCCCATACACCTTTTAAAAATTGATATTGTCTCTCTATTTGTATTTATTAGAACGTACGTTGATTTCTAGAGGTAAGTAATAACTGAACAACTAGTAACTGATCTAGGTAATTTAACCTAATAATTTATAGCATAAAAAAATACAGGAATGTTATCTAACAAGTATTGGGGTCAGGGATACCATCACTATTTCAATATTTGACATGGGCAATTTCCCGTTTTGGACCCATGTTCGTCACGCCACTGTATGTGAGTGCTGTTTGTCTGTTTATCGATTTAAATTCCAAATAACCTTTTCCCTGAAAAGAAATTTATTTGAAGAACGGGGTGAAACACAATTTACTTTTGACCTATACTTACTTTTAAGTAGACACGGGTCTAATGTCAGGTCTACACCTTTGTAATGTCCCTTCTCTCTGCACTGATATTTAACCGATACGAACTTTTACATTTTGGCTCTTATCAGTTGTGGGTTAATTTCACCGAGATCAAATAATGTTAACTTGAAATATTAGTGGAGTTATATTAAAAAAATGATTCAATGAGTATATATAACGACAGGAGCTTGTAAAAAAACTTTTACTTTGCAGTTTATATCGATCTTATGGAATCAGAAACTTAAAAACGGTCAAAATCAAAAAAAAAAACAAAAGCTGTTACTAAATAGTACTTTTTAATCAGTTCAGTTATTGTTTAGAAAATTATTTAATCCGTTTAGATTTTCCTGAAAATGATGTACAAAGATATTGACAGGTATATGATAGATAGAGTTAAATACGTGGCCCAGTAGGTCAGTTTCCTTAACTTCCACCGGGAAAAATCACCTTATCCGAATCCGAATCCGTAAGCAGCATTAAGCATTAAAAAAAAAAAATGAATTGTACAACGGTTTAAAGATAAAACCGTCAGATTGAAACTCGTTGTGAACACTAAAATTTTAATTTTAATAAGTTAATGAGAGGTTTATCTTATTAACACTGCTGTTAAATTTGTGATAATTATGTATTTAACAAAATAACCTCGTTTCTTATTTGACATTCTCATGAATCCCTGGAATTTTAGTACAGATAATAAGAGTAGGCAGTATAATTATATTGGGCCGGAATTAATAGACGCTTTTATAATATCTACAAATTTATTATTGTCAACTCAAAATCTCTTAACTTACAATTTGAAAGTATACTACATCGTAAACAAAGTAATATATTTAAAGTAATAATATATATAATAATATTTTTTCGTTTTCTATAGTTCATTCCGAGCTTTATATAGTTTACGCTAAGGATAAGGGTGACCGACCCCATTAAGTTAAGAAAAATCTAGGGAAATTGAACGGAGAGAACATGTATACAAATATAAAATTGGATATTGTATTTTATATACGAAATATGTATTATATTTTTGTTTTTAAAGGACTGTAGCTTTGTATGGAACTTTAAAACTTGATAGACCGAGGACATTTGTTTTTTTAAAATTACTGCAATAATGGGGTGGTATAGTTTAGTTTAAAGCAGATAGTAATGGCTGCATATATATAATAAAAAGAGGGTGGATAGAATTGATTTGTGTCTAGACGTATAGTTTCTTAATCGAATAACGAGTTATTGATGACCGTACTGTTATAAAGAAGTATTATTATTGTGATTCATTGCAGCTACAAAACAAGTCTAAAAAGTGAATAAATATTAAAATTACATTTAAAAATGTAGAAATCAGTCCAAAGCAGTTAAACATTTATAATTGTATATCAATAAAATATGTTCATATTCGTAATTTATTGTACGTATTATGTCGTCTTATAATATTCGAACTTAAATATCTAAAATACCATATAGCTGGTTTTTTATCGAGTATCATGTATATAATATTATTAATAAAAAAACAAAAAAACCTATTCATACATCAGATTATATATTATCACAGTTGGTCTTCGAATAAAAAATTATTGTCTATTGACGCTATGAGGATTGTTCTCGTGTTGGTATCTGTCTGATATAATCCATAAATTTTTTGCGTTCCGCGTCCAATTTTTTATCTGTAAGATCGTCACAAGCTAAAGACGCTCTCAATTTCGCAGCCGTGTGTTCGAGGTCCTTAACATAAGAAAAACCAATTTTAACTGCTGTGTGCGCATTTTATATAATCACGACAGTATTATATGTAAATATTTATTATGTTCTGCTATCGATTCGTTAGTCAATATAAAATAAGTACTAAAATTGTATTTGAGTATGAATTAGTGGTATTTACCATCGACAGGGATGATAAGATGTAGGTTAAACAATATAGATAGGTATCAATTTTATGCAAAATAGGAGGAAAATATATAATTTTTATAAACCAATAAGTCTATGTATCGTCAATGTTCTTAGAAATTATTATTAATTAATATTTTGAGCACGTTATGATGTTATATATTACATAGGACCTATTGAAAATCACTTGCATTTACCTAATTTGAGTAAGGAACTAATAATAACAAATTACGCGCAAATAAAGAGTAGATGATATGCTTATGATGCAATCAGTTCGATATAGTATATAATATTATGTATAAATGTATATATGTGAATATATTTTTTGTCAATATTCTACACAATAATAGGTATACAAAGTTGCGCAATAAGCTAATATATTTGTAAGATATAATTGTACTTACGCAACATGATCGAATAAAAGGTAAGGCAAAGAAACGATTTGTTGGTACAAATGCGAATAAAGGGACTTGTCCACCCAGGTTTTACTACCTGTACCCCCCTCCGAAATTGTTAACACCACAAATTATTTATCATATATCCAATAATTGCATTTATTATTATTCAACGAAAGAAAGATTTAAAAAATTCTCGTTTAATCTACACAGACTCAAATTAAAAATTGAAATTTCAATTATTTAACATTATTATTTTTAAAGTTAAGCTATTTTTTAATTTGAACCATATCAACTTACATTGTACAAGTTATAATAGTTATAATTTTATTTATTGCCATTTTGACAGGATATTAAAGCCATGTGTTTATGCTTATTATTTTTTTAGAAATCTGATAAAATCGAGAAATGGAGTTATACATAGTTCGACTCTCCTGATATATAATATTTTACTAAGCGTCGAAAACGATATTATAATCGATCCTAAATGCATTATTTAGTTAGTTATCAGTATTAAATAAAAAAATATTGAAAAAATCAATTTATATATTCATTACAATTTAAAATATGTCTTAAACTATAGAGATATGGATGATAGTTTTACATGGGTCATTTTTATAGGCAATATATGTAGTTGTAGTATACGAGTGAAATATTTTATAAAATGTTGATATTACAACACTCAAACAAGTTTGCATTTTAGCATTTTTGAAGTTTCTGTTATACGAGTTTTTGGTTTAATGTGGATTGAATTTTTAGTAGGTTTTAATTTGAACGTGATAAATAATACGTTTTTTTACATAATATTGACATAAAAAGAAACGGTAGTCATTGTTGAAAAAATTAAATAATTTATCAATAAATTCGAATAGGCACATGATAACGCAGTTTCGCTCGTATTAAAAGACGAAAATGTTCACACGAGAAAATTGCACTATGTTACTCACTTTTAAAAACGTTTCGTTCCTTTTTTTTGCGACTTTCCTTTGTTTGTCAAACTGTTCTCGACGAATTTTAAAAAAGTCTCCTTCTTCCACAGCCATTGTTTTGCGTCTGCTTAATCTATGTAATGAATGATTAGTATTTCAATAACAATGCAAACACGAATATTAAAGATTTAGTATATCTATATCAGGGGCGTTTACGGGAATATTCAACAGCAGGGAAGTTAGGGATTAATATTTTAATTTACTTTTTTTTTTTGTAGAACATCAGGAGATGGATTTGATTGCAAAATATTCGTAACGATAACGAAAATAAATGTAACTGCGCATACATAAATAAATGCATGTTTTAAATACATTAATAGTTCACAACCAAATTATATTTATGATTGATAAATTATATCTATAATAATGACCATTACTGGACACGCTTGTTAGAGATCAATAATTGTTTACGAAGAAATCGAAAATATTTCAAATTTAATATTTTACAAAATATTATCTGAAAACATAGGTAGGTATATGTTATTTTCATAATTTTCGTAAAGAAAAAATTGCTACACATCTCCCATCAAAACTTGATGGACCTACGTTTTTACTACAGTAATTTATAACGGATAATGTTTAAATTAATATATTTTACACGCGCTAAATCATAACAAAACATCGAATAATTTATATTTTTTCTTACATTATGATAGATATACGATGAAAATAAATAATAGCCCAAAAATGAAAAACGGTATTTTATTAGAATTTGAAAATCTACCGAAAATTATGAGTGTTTCTTGAGGCCAACGTTATTAGGTAGGTATTTATGTGTTAATGTTTCTTCTCATATCTATTAAGAAAATTTTTAAAAATGTACGTTTTACATTTTATGTTTCTGATCAATATGCATAAGAAAACTACCAATATAATATGTAATATTATGACAGTGCTAAATGTAACGAATTTCGCCTAATAAAATTACACGAATCCCTTAACCCTCCGTTACCTGAAACGTGTTTGTGTATTACTGTTGGAACTGCAATCAACACCTATGGGACCGTGCGAATTCAATAAGCCCCGGAACCATAACCATAACGTATATTATTCAAACGTTGTATACTCACATCTCTTTTAGTTGATTTTCCAAAAAGATTTCGCGATCAATGTAGCCGCGTATAATTTGTCGGGCAGCATCTTTTTCGGCCATACCGTCGCCGGGTACTGCGTGAAAGCGAAAAACGATTTTATGTTCTATGCTCGTTAAATAGACGCACGTTTGAGTGTGACGAACGCGATTCGCGAAGTGCAACCGTGGTGGTCGATTATTGTTTGTTTAGGCCGTTGCTGTCAGGGAACCCCCTTGTAACCAACGACGCTAGTGCGGTGTGTCGCGTGGGTAACCGTACGCACGACGATCGTCGGTGGTCTCCGTGCGCCGGCGGATCGTAGAAAAATAAAGCACATGTCCGCTGGCTCTGTACGCGGTCTCCGACATAACTTCTCGTCTCTCGTCGACTTCGATCCAAGTCCCCGTATTACTCCGCCGTACGTTGCAACCGATCACGTGTATTATTGATTATTGTTCCGAGGTAAACGTTTTGTGTGCGCTACTGCCGTTAGTTTTTAGATCGTTACGTGTAAGACAGGTGTAATACATTCCCCTCGAAGCTGATCAGTCACTTTTTTATAACACTAATTTTTTGTGGACGGCTATTTCTGGGTATTTCAACCACGTATCTGTAATGGATTTATTGTGTAAAATAATCCATGCTAGAAATAAAAAAATAAAAATAAAACTAATAAGAGGACTGTTGAAGCCGAGGACAAGAGTCAATATTCACTTAATCCTCGCTTCGCTTCTCGGACGGGTACCGAACAATAACGAAAGGGAACGACGGTAGACGTTATAGGAATGGAGTATGTCTGTTGTTCAAACCTCAAGGCTGGATGTGTTCGGTCATAGTACGTTATTTGTGTAAACCGAAAACTTTTTTTTTTTTTTAAATTATTTTTCACAATATTCAGAGTGACGTATTTTGATAAGTTCTAACCACAAAAGTTCTAAAATATGAAACCATAAAGGTGAAAAACTGATTTCACCGATATAATGGTAAAGAAAATCCACGCTTATTGATAAGTGATGGAGTGAACCATTTTTTCTCCTGCAACTTCAGGTTTTTCATACTAAGAATGAAATAATTGAAAATCTGTTAAGTTTTTTAAAAGTTTTCTTCTTGTCCCGCGTACAGTAAAACATATTTAATGATTATAGCTGTTTGATGTTTGTGTAATTTTAATAATCTGAGAATGGTCATAGAAAAAAAAAAACCCTTCTTAACTAACTGTTCCAAGACCTAATATTATGTCGCTCAGAATCTAAGATTTTTTCCTACCTAACGTCCAAATTATTACTGAGTAATCTTATAAAGAAACAGTGTTTCTTCTAATATTTTAAAACCAGTATTATTATAATTTATGTGCATGTACAACGATTAACCGTATTTAAGTAGATTCAAGTCGGTATAGTATTATGATCTCTACGAACACGGTTTAATGCAAATACAAATCCAGTACGATTACATATGTTTTTATATTTACTTATTGATTCATGTGTACACTACGAATCATTTACAAGTATGATAGGTATTACGAAGAAATAATATTACCAGAACAATTATTTTGTGGTTTTAAAATGTTTGTAATCGCTGAATTTTAGATATCGTTAAATTGTGGTACACAACTGTAAGATAATTTTTTTTTAACGACCAAACGGTTTGATTGATTTTGAAGTACAAATGAGGTTATTTTTCCCGAGTTGTTATATAATTGATAAATTATTACAGTATAATACACATGCAAATATATAATTATGTATTTATTTAGTAGTGGTACATCTATTGTTTTTTTTCCTCTTGCGTTTATAGTTATCAAATTGTGAAAAAATAAAAGAAATTTTGATCTGTTGAGAGCAGCAGAGCGATGATGTATATATTATAAGGATTATAAGAACAAGGTGCGTGAGACTAGATATAGAAGTAAATGAACAAACCTTTACTTAGTCTGTTGTAGCTTTAGAAGCAGAAACATTTTTCACAATTTTATCTGTAAGCCCGACTAATGGAAATACTTGATTTGTTCGTTGACAGTCAACGTTCAAGTTACACTTCAATATTAGTATTTAGCACGGTTTTTATAGGCTATATATTACTAGTCTATAACAAGAGACTATATATCCTCAATGATTTGTCGCAATTTTAGCTCGTAAATGAAAATTAGAATACGCAACTCACTGTTTTTTTTATGTTTTTATTTTTCAATTTAATGAGCTTTTGCGAATTAAGCCTTATGATCCAACAATTTTATATAAATTACTGTTAAAGCCAACAAGAAATTTGTAAAACGTCCCGTGGATCCTTGTATTCATCGTTTTTTATGTCATTTGTTTAGTAAATTAAGAAAAACATCACAATTATGTATAGGATTGAAGTACGATGTTATCATAAGAAATATAGTGAATAATTCCGGTGAAAATCTGACTTCCAATTATCACATGTCGCATTAGACAAAGATATCGATATTTTAATGTGCATATTAGATCTATAGTGAACGATGAAATGATATATTAACTATTGGTGTGTGAGTGTGTGTGTATGTATCGATCCAATTGATTGTGAATTAATAATTATTTTTATTACTATTTTATTTCAAGACAAAGTAAAAATATGTTTAAAAATGATAGACTAAATAATAGTATTTTATGATTTCACTGAATTGGTACAGAATACTGCACACATACATACGTAATACGAGTACGCTTGCAGTATAATTTATGCTTTAAATTGTCATAAAACAATAACAAAAGGTTAATTGATTTTCAAACGCTTTTTTAACATAGAGGGTTGTTTTTTACGGTACAAAACATTGTATGTCAGAAGGAAAAATATATTATTAATTATAATCCACGAAAAATGAGGAACGTGACATGTGAAGTTACCAATTTCCACATCAATAACATTGTAGAACGAATAAGCAAAATGATTTATTGAAATCCACTACAAGGAAGATTTATTCAAATCGGAAGTAGATGTAATAACGAATAGGTACGTATAATGTATACAAACAATGCATATAAACTTTTAGGCGTGTTATGTTTCAATTGTTTAACCGGTGACGTGATTTTTTTTTTTAAGGCTTCAAATACATAGTTTATTAGCCTACAATGGTATACAGCACTTAAGGTTACATTTCATTTATGAAATTTTTTTTTTTAAACATTTTACATAGTTGTGAAAGTGTGGTATCGTTGATCAATTGTCCTATATGTTGGTTGTGAGCTTGGCTATCTTGATGAAGTCTGTTACTTTTTCTTTTGTCCGGAGCCGAATATATTTTTGGGTGAGATGGTCTTTATATCTGATTTTGTTCGGGCTTTCTGATAAGTGGGACATTTTAAGAATAAGTGTTAAACAGCGTTAAAAAGGTTCACAGATGCACGTTTCACACTAGGATTCGGATTCCTTACACATTTGTTGGAAATGTGTGAGTGTAGCATGTCCAATGTGATTTTCTTTATTCTTATTATAGAACTTAATATAGTTGTTTTCGGTAAGATATACGATTATTACTGCTGTAGAGCGATACTTGCATTCTGTTCCGCGACTATCGTACTGTGCCAATATTATTATATATTTCAACGGAATTCCGAGTGCAGTATTTTCCACATACACCTACAGGGCGTCCGACGAACATTCGAATGTTTTGTGATCGTTTATAAGAAAAATAAATGTATCGTTCGCCTGAGTCGGCGGAACGTATATTCAAGGAAGCGTCCGTTTCCAACGCGGACAGTCCGAGTGCAAACCGCTGTAGCGGTATGACAACGAATCATCGAAGGAATGGCAAAGAAGTTGTATAGTGACTTTTGAATATTCTATGTTGTCTATTTGTTGTGTACTCGCAGTCGGCTATGATGTCTACTTTTACGGCTCTCACGTGTATTGCGTGCGAGTTGGGTCCTACACGCGCCACCGTAACGGATTCATCGCGGTAAAACGCACTTAGAGACGGTCGTGGTATTATACCCTGTACGTGGGCACCTATTTCCTATGGTTAATTAAACTATCGTCATCATTATTATTATTGTCGCGTCCTTATCCTGCCGACCGTACCGTCGTCCGGGCAGCGTACACGCTCTCCCACGCGTATCTATCGTTGATTTTTCGCCACATCACTCGTAAGTCTATGTGCACACAACGCTCGTAGTTATCGGAAAAAAGCGAGGGGGGAGGAACTCGTTTTGTCGGACGCGACGGGCGAAAAAAAAAAATCGCGGGGACACGTACGAACGCGCGTACCTGTCTACGCGCGGAGGGGAAACGGACCGATAACGAAAAAAAAAAACGAACAATGACAAAAATGCGTTGCCAAAAAAAAAAAAAAACACAACGATCGTACCGAACCGATACGATTGCCGCGCGGTGCAGTACGGGACCGCGATAGGCGTCCACGAGACCGTGAAGTACGTTCCGTTACCGCGCGATACCGCGTTTTTCCCATGGCGCGCGCGTGTTGCCCACCGTTTTTCAACAACGCGTTTCGGCGCGCGTCAATTATCATCGTTGGCGGTACCGCGCGACCGAATCGATAAGCCAAAAGCGCCGCAGCTGTGCCGGACACTTGCGCGCATTTATAATACACGGTGCCGGCACACCGCGTTACCGCCGCGCACTTGCCGGATAAACTAATTGCTCTGCGTACGGACGACGACGGCGGTGTTTACGCGCCCGCCCGTGCTGTTGCAGCGCGCGGAATCGTCGTTTCGCCGCCAGTCCTCTGCGCGAGCCCCGTCCCTATAACCGAGGAACAATTGTTATACGATCGTAACGCTGATGAGCTTCCGAAGGTTTTCCCGAAGGTTTCGTATGAACATCGTACCCGGGCTAGAATCGTTTCGTCGGCTTTCATGTCGGCTCATCGATCAACTTTATCGACCGTACGCGCGTATGCGATCGTGTTATTGTTCGTCGTCGTTTGCATAGACGCGCGAAAACGGTTTTTTTTCTTTTACTTCGCGTTATCATAGCACACCGGGGAAATAATGTTAGTCCTGTCCGAACTGTACGTTTTCCGCAGGTTTCCGCCCGCGCAAGAAACAAAACTAAAAATGCGTATCTACGTGCGTACACAACCTGCCTGTATAATATTTTGCTAGCTCGTAACCCGTTATAACCAGCACACTTTTGATTGGGCTGGAGGAAGGAAAAAACTCGACTCGATCAACACACCTTAGTTCGATTGCAATTACGAATTGTTCAAGCCGATAAATAGATTATTAAATTAGAATCATATATACGTAGAGTGCGTGTATCGATGTAGGTGTACCTGCAACTACTGCATAGTTGACGATAAGAAGAACGCGTGGTGCAGTCGAGCGGAAACGTCGTTAGTAATTTGTCCACCTTACAGTTTTCGTTATCGTTTTTTCCCTTTGCACATTATTGCTATAGTCAAGTGCATAAACTATATGCACACAATCACACATACTCTCTCTCTCTCTCTCTTACGCACACACGCACACGTTCGCACGTTAAAAAAAATCCGTTATTTGATAAACCATCGAATACTTTTCATTTTATAATTAGTAATTTATTATTATTTTTGAAAACAAAATATTACGAGTTATAAAAACTTACTGATATTTAAACGGTTGTTTGAATATTTTTTCGGGTAATTAACATATTGATCATAATTGTTTAAAATTATCGGGTTGTTCAAAATGCGAAAAAAGTATTCAAATACAATAAAACAATTTTCATTTTTTTCTAAAATTAAAAATGTATTTTTTTCTAAAATCTTAAGAGTTATATAAATGTTTAAAAAGTACAACATAAATTTAATGTCTAAATATTTTAATATTTTTAATAATATGCAAACAATTTACATCCATCTAATAAGTAATCATATAGTTTAAATTAAAATACACTTTTGATAAATATTTGAAATTAAAAAAAATAAATTTAAAAGCCTATAAAATCAAAGTATTTTATTTATATTTATAAATCTTGTCTATTACATTCTAAACGAAAAACAAATAATAATAATAATAATAATAAATTTGAGTATATAAAGTCGTAATTGACGATCCTCATGACTCGAGCCGAACGAACAAATTGATTGAATTACAATAGACAAACTTGTCCTCTTGGCTCAAGGAATCAGGTCGTCCAGAATATTATATACTCAATGGATACAAGCTTCTAACTTACATATTTTATGATTCCGGTGGTGTTCCAGGAGGACGGAGTGCTTTCCCAGGTCCTGACTGCTTCGTGGTCTGTGCTGTACGACAATTAAAGTACGAATGTAGTGCGTTAAACAATTTCCTATCACTACCGTTTCTACCGTTTCATCTATTGCTAGCTCATAACACTTGTTTCAACACATATACTGACGACCCCCTTCCATTGGACTTACTCAAAAAAAAAAAAAAAATAAATAAAAAATACGTTGGCAAGTACACGTATCACAATTAGATTAGATGCTAAATATTAAAAAAGGCGTTCTTTCCACCACCTACCCATTATTATCATATAAAACGGTCACAAAACCTACTCGACCATAAATATTGTCCGTGTTTGCTCACTGTGTCATCGTATGTATATGGTAATATTATTAATTGTTTCGAGTATCTTGAAACCACGGTGGATTACAGGGCACATATATTTAATAAAAAACAATATTAACAAATTGAGCCATATTATTCCTGGATTTAAATGTGTATAGCTGCTATAATCTTGAAATTATTCAATAACACTACAAAACGTTTACTTAAGATGTTTTCGCTGTAGATAAATGTTAAAATCCCTTTTTCAAAATACTGTTGCAGACATAAAGTATAAATTAGTTACGTTCTATGCTGGACCATATATTATTATAAAATAAAAATGGTTATGTATTACTGTGTCCTATAGTCGGTGTATGATTTTAAATCGTTTAAAAAATAGTTAGTAAACCAGATTATTAAACGTTTTGAATTTTGAACTTCGTATTTTTATAGAAATGTAATTGTATTAGTACAAATATATACTTCTAAAATATTTTTAGTTGACAGATTATTAAGTGTCAATTATAATTTAATCATATATAACAATTAAAACAATTTTATCCAAGAGGGATAATACTTGTACGTAACCAAAATTGTATGTAAATAGTAATGACAGCAGTTCGGTATACAACGGCAGACCTTTGATAATTCAACTAACCTGCGTTAGACAACGTCCGAAGATATTGAATATTATAATATTATTGTTTTATTTAAATAGATTTTGAATACTTCTATGTAATCCCTGCATATTATTAATTATTGGCGCAAAAATCAAAGTATGCTCTATTGGTTATCGGAAAGCAGTTGGAAGTAATATCTATCTTCTCGTTCGGTCACAATATTATGCCAATGAGAAAAATGTATGGTTGTTGCTAAATAAAATTCTAGATGAATTGGCTGTTTGCATTGTAACTGATGCTTAAAACGTCATATAGTGCTTCTATATACAAAGCTTAAAATTCGACGCGAAACGTCGTTCGTTTAATGACTTGCAGGTTAGTATGCTGTTTATTGTGCTGGACTTTTGAAATTCCAAACAATAATAATCACTTGAAAAATTGATTTAATTTATTATTAATAAAGTTAGTATATTGAATCAATTATCTTGAAGTGTTTAGTCATCATAAATATTCGTTTGTTATTTTTTAATCACTTAATTTAATACGAGTTACAATATATTGAAGTATGTACATCATCTAAATGTAATACATTTAAAAATTAATGCATTTGTAAAAAGTTGGGTAAAATTAATTAATTAAACAATACCCATATATTTAAAAAATTATAAAATACGAACTAGAAATATATCGAAGATGAGACTAATTAAAATCGAAATAATACATTAGTTTCTCCGTTTTGTAAATAACACATTGATTCAATTTTATTAATATTTTGTCTCTTTTATAATTTTATTTGAATACTTACATTCATAAGGATTTATGATTTAAGATTGTAATATTTTGTTATTTTATTTTTGGATATTTATTTAAGAATGTAATATTTTAAAATGTAACAAGAAATGTTAGTAGTATATTACTAAATATACCAAAATTTCTCATAAAAATGTTGATTCTGGTTTTTTTGATTGTTTGATTGTTGATGTATTAGTGTTAAAAACAATAATTTCTATTCGTCATCATAATTATTGGGTTTTTAAGTCGGTAATATATTATTTTGAACATTCCACAATGAGACATAAAACAAAATCTTTATAGTCTTAAGTATAATATGTAGGTTTAGATAAAAGTAATGTTATTATAGAATCATGCACCTTAAGTACTAAGATGATGTATTATTAAGACCAAGACATCATAATTTATTGATTGATCGTTGTTACGGGCAACTGGCTCGCTAGATTTATTTCTTAAAGTTACTTGATGATCTTAATCATGCCTAGATATTATGGTATTTATGTATAGTATACATTGTATACGAACATGTATAATTATTTGTAGGTATTAAAAATAAATAAACGTAAATAGTTAATATTTGATTTAGTATAGAAATATTTTTTAACCGATTTTCTAAAATATAGTAGTACTGCTTCGTAAGTAATAACATTTCGAATGTATATTATATCGTATATTATACACTCAAAATAAGTTTGCATACAAATAAAAGTTTATAAATACGGTTTGTATAAGAGACGTTCACTGAGTCGCTTTTATGGAGTCATTGAGGAGAGCACCATTATTTTGAAGGGGTAAGCTGTTTTATAAGTACGATTAGTACGATTAACATAAGCTTATACATATGGGTATAGTCAGTGTCGCCGAACTATCAAAAAAGGTGTGACACAAGTTTTCACGATGCTATCTATTAAAATATTACGCAAAAAATGTGCAAGAATCACGAGTCGTGGGGAAACCAGAAACTATTACAGAATACAGCATGACGTAGTTATTCATTTTGTGTATTACGCTATATTAGCAATCTAATATTATTATGCTTTTAACACATGATAATGTACTGATTTTAAACGTATTAATACTTTATTAGCAATTACTTTATTACATCCTAAGTATGTACAATGTATAATATTAATACCCACCTTCTCCTTTAAAAAGCTGTGACTGCTGTTACAACTATATAGTGTATTCGGCACCACTGGTTATAGTACATTAGCGACATAATTAAAAACCTATTCGTTTTGGATGATAATTAAAATAGCAGATTTTTTAGGAGACTGTACTCCGTATCTTTTGTATATACACAGGGCCGTGTTAAGGAGAGTCAAAGGGGGCTATTGCCCCCGAGCGCCGTAGTTTTTTAAATGTAAAGGGGCGCCCTTATCTGCACTTAATATGCAACCTGTGCCCAGTGGCTCCGTAGAAAAATTTTGCCCCGTGGCGCTGAAATGTTTGACATGGCTCTGTATATACACGACACATTTTTATAAAAACCCAGACATGTGAACAGATTCCTAGGAGTTTGTAATCGATTTAACGGTATTACTTACTTGATTTTTCACAGCGAGCAAATAGAAATCTTTCGTTGCAATCGTTCTGTAAGTATACCTAATAATATAATTTTTTACTCATACACGCGTGCATGGACATACAATCATAACTTTCGCTGTTAAAGCGAAGTACTAAACGAAGTCGAAAACACCGACTAAAACTTGGAAAATCAATCCGGGCAAAGCTGTTGATTTGCAGCCGAAACTTGTAGAAAAAATAAATTCGGCAATAACCACTGATACGGAGTCAAATTAAACAGGTACAGATACGCGGTATAAAAGTTACAATTCAATATTACTCACTTACGGCCGACTGGTACGTATAGCGTATAAAACTGAAGCGAGTCGATAACGACAACGACAGTCCCCGGCTCATTGTATTTCGCAATCTACCCTAATCATATTTTTGCATCGACTATCTTATCTAAGGTTTTCATTGTCACGATATAAGTAACGCGTGCGAAAATCGTTTTATTTAAAACGTGCATATGCATGTAGTAAAACGTATAATACGCGCATACCTTGATTAATAAAATATTGTTAATCGATTGTTATACGATTACAAGGCGAATGCGAGTTTAATTTAGAATTTAACATTATTGCAATCGAGTGTATTCATGCAAAAGTCACGATCATTTTGGACAATCTAAAATGTTCGTCGAAAAGAAAATATGTTAAATGTTTGTACACGTACGTATAGTGATGAGCATATTAGGATTTCAAAATTTCGAATTATTCTGATTTGTCAAATCTGGATTTTACGGATTATCTACATTATCCAACTCAATTTTGCTGTTTAATGATTCATTTTTATATCCTCATAAATTGAATTATAAAACATAATTTTCAAACATAGGTATATTATATTATACTTCTAACACATTTTAACTTAAAAATGTAATAACTAATTGTTTTGATAACAAATAATACATTATAAAAACTGTTGAAATTGTGATTGGTATTCAGTAATTCATAAAATAAAATATTGATTTGTTGTTAAATTTTCATTACAATAAAATAAAATAAATTAGTTTAAAAATAATTCACATAAAAAGCAAATCATAAATCCAGATAATTCGTATAAGAATTTGATTTAAATCCGGATTTGGACATCCGAATGATCGAAAAATTCAGATCTTCGATTTCCATGTCCATTCCTACGTACGTATCGCTTAGGCAGTTTGCAACACATCGCATTTTTGGTTGTGTGCATGTTTTTCCTCTTAAGATCGTTTTTGAAAACAAAAAGTTCTTTAAGAAAAATGTAAATTCGCTTTTAAGACCATGTTTATTGAATATGAAAATATTGTAGGCAATGATAGCAGCACGTCTGTGATTAATCTCATCATAATTTTAACGCGTCCACCAGTTCCGTAACCAAAGGTTTTCTTTTATCGAAGAAAAGAGATTTTTAAATTCAAGAATAAAATGTTTCCTAAATTTTCCTATTATACTGGTAAAATAACGATTAGGTAATGCAGATTAATTCAGTCTAGACAACGTCCCTGAATAGTAAAACGTCTGTTGGTCAAATATTGTGAATTATAATTTTACACCCTAACTATAAAAATGTATCTGACATCTCGTCTGAAGTTTATGTAGTCTTCATGATAACGGTGGTGGTATCTACCGAGATGACAGTAACAATAATTAAAATATTATATTTATTATATAATAATAAATTTTACCGACAATAAACCGAATGAGAATCGGTTACACACTTCTTACACATGGATACCTATGCATATCAAACCACCAATAGAATACACTGTAGAGTGGTAGTAACGGTTAAATATATAACGACGGAAAGCAGAGTAAACGAAGAAAAAATAAAAAAATACGAAATAGTCGAGAACCACTTCGAAATAATTAGTCCCGAATGCCAAACTGAGAGCATCATTGGATTTTTCAAGATCACAAAATAGTTAATTATATACAACATTAATAATAATAATTAGTCTTAAGTTGCCATATTGTAAATATCAAAAGTTTAGTAAATTAATATGAATATTCATCAAAAAAATCTAATGGTTGTTGTTGATTTCGAAGCTTAAGTTCAGTAAAAAAAAAAAAAAATTAATAAATAAAAAAAAAAATGTTACGTAGTTAATTAACTGTAATCTATTTTGTCTCTGGAATAATAATTCGAGTGAAAAAGCGACACCGTGTATACTACGGGATAACCGACCGTTGGATCTTTCGATCGCACTAACACTGGTATTGTTCTGACCATTTAGTAATGAGATTTAGTATGTACAAGAATGTAGAGTTTTCGGGATAAGCGACACAACTGTTATAAAACTAGGAGACTAGCTCCTTTTTTAAGGGTAAAAGCGATACTGTTGAAAATTGTATGAGCTAAGCGAAAAATGCATGGTGTTTAGCCCCTACGATTGCTGCTTATTAACTTTAATAATAATAATAGTATAGCTTATGGGTATCTAACCATTTTTTCATATTGATATAAGTGATAACATGAGTAAAGTTGTTTATACTTACTAGGTATACGTACTTACGTTGTATAATTGTTATAAGTTTACTGAAAAATTTATTAGCGCCATTTATTATAAAAAATAAAAATTAAAGCTAAGTGCCAAAAAAAGGTAAGTTTTAGAGTACCTAATATTTAAATGTTTATATAATTAGTGTCAGACCAGCAAAGTAACATCTAATAAAATGGAAATATATAATAACCCTATTCCTAATGCTTAAATAAATATCGAAGTGCCAACGCCTATTCCTAATGCTTAAATAAATATCGAAGTTCCAACGTCTAAGTTAAGAAAATATGAAAATTTTGTTTTTGCTCTCTTGAAAAATAGTAAAACGGTCGCTTAGCCTCTTTTACCTTTTACCAGTCGATATGTTGATACCAATGTTGTTAAAAAGTTTTTTTATAAGTATTTTGTACTTCCCGAGGCTTAATACCGCAAACCGTTCTACATTACTCGATTGGTTTAATGATCGTAATTAAAACGCACATCCGGATGGAAATTATCACGTATCAAAATATCTCGATTTGATGATTCGAGAGAGGTCAACCAGACATTTTCGGGTTCAATTCATTTGGAATCGTTAATGAATCAGTCAGTTATGATACAATATATGTCGTCACGGGAAAACGTGAATCAACACGTCTATATTAGCACTCCGTAGTGTAAGAGTGATCTGTAAATTATAATTATATATGTATCATATATGTTCGGTGTGGAATCGAGCCCGTGCAGTAGATTGTTGTAAAAACGAAACGAAAATCAGTAAATTGTTATGTGTTCGTGTTGTCGAGGTGCATGTACGTTTTTATTTTTTTTTTCTTCTCGTTTGTGTCAAAAAATTTAAACGTATATTATAACACATATTATATTTTATTATTGTGTACAAGCAGCGGTGTGGCTGTTATGCGTGGCGACGGTTTGTACAAGTGTTACCATCACCGTTGGTTTGTACAAGTGCATTTTAAAATGGGGCATTGTTGTCATCTCGTTTGTCAACCTTTGTTTTCCGCCACACACATTTCGTCCGTCTCTGCGTCCGCGTCACGCGGCCGCGTATATTATAATACCTATATCGCATTTTAACGTCGCACCGTTATACTATTTTTCACTTTTCTACGTACACACACATTGGTACCTAAAACACACATATACACACGCACACGCAAACGCTGGCACGCACACAGCCCCATACGCAGACACCAGTAGTACGAATCCTTTATTACAATACGATTATTGTTATTATTATATTTATTTTTGTAATATTTCAGTTACACAATCCCGCATGTGTGCGCGACGGGTAAAGCCAACCACGTTGTATGGGAGGTGCACGGCACACGTATTATTCGTCGAATTATGTCGTTTATTTCGACAAATTTTTTTTTTTTGGTTTTTCGAGCGTAGGTCCGGTTAGAAAGGTATGAAAGTGAAAAGCTAAAAATTAACAGACTTTCAACACATATACTATTAACAATGTTTACATTTCGTAACGGACTTATCGTACGAGCTCGTGTTCAACATTGATCGTGGTGGATATCGATAACACGTTCGTATAATATATGATAAGACATGATATAGATGCAATTGCTTTTTGAATATCTATCATGGGTACAAAACATATACGAGCAATATAGCTAATAAATTAAAATTATGTTATGTTAAACCAATATGTCCAAAATTGCGTGCATAATAAATTAATCAGATCCAAGTGATGACCTATTTTCTTCTTATAACACCGTATAATATATAGTCATAACTGTGTAGCATTTCGGAATATTTGACCCGGTTTTTAATCGTATTCATAGTTTTTTTTTTTTTTGTCTAAAAATTATACATTATATAATCAATAAGTAAATAATGTAAATAGTTTTAACTTATTAACCTGAATCATCGTTTTAAACAATTTTGTATGAAATCAAATGGTTTTCTAATCTCATAATATAGAAGGTACAAAGCAAAGTTTTAAGTTTAATTTAAATTAAATTTAAAATTGTGCGCCGTGTTATTATTTTGATATGTATAGTTGTTGAATAGAATAGCAGCATAGTTTGTACTAAAGCCAATAAAAAAAATTATTTGTATGCGATATTAATAGCAATGTTGAATAAATAAATAAAATAAAATAAATTGAGACAAAGTAACGTGATTTAAAACTTATTAAAATTTGAATACAATTATATTATTTATAAGACAAATTGAATATGTAAATGTATATTTTATCTCTATCATTATAAATATCAACCCAGTTATATTATATATGATTATTAAAAATGTTTTATAAAACGTTAACTGTTTTTTCGCAAAAAATGTTATCTTATCATATTTTATTTCAACAAATACTTGATAAAAAAAATATGTATGAATATGTATGCGTATGAATATTGAATAGTAGTGAATTTTCCAATCATCGAAATATAAGTATAATTATTATGAATAATAAACGTATTAATTATTGTTTAATATTTAGTGTTGTTTTCAACTTTCAACCATCACAGTACACGTATTTAAATTAAGTAGGTAAACTTGTTTAACACATATTTCGATATTCAATATTATAATATTCTTAAACGGTAAGTAAGGTACGGACAATATATGTGTAACAGTGTTTTCTGAGTTAAGATTAATAATTATATCAATTTGAAATGTAAGTACATCATTTTACCTACGTTCGTGTTTTGAATCGTGCTGAATATAAATATTGTCGATGGAATTTTTTAAAGAACTTTTTTTACTTTACTTCTTATATTGGCTGTATTCAATATAATTTTATTTCATACGAATTACAAGCCAATTTTAATAGTTACAGATTTTTCTTTCAGGAAAACCGTAATACCCTTTGGAGGTATTTAATATTATAGTCTTTCGCAGCAGAATTGATGTACAGTTTTGACCTTTAAAAATAATTATATGATTACATTATGCTTTTCATTATTTTTCAGTTTTTATATCACCGGTAAATAATCTTTAAAATTAGTTCGTAGTTTATCTACAAGGCAGTTTGTGATTATTTTCTTTTTATGTAAGTATTATTTATTTGTTATACTTAAGTATTTCAAGTTTGTTTTACGTATAATGGAAAATTTTTAATTCAATTTTATTTTCTGTATAATATAATTAAAACCGTAAATTGGTTGTAAAACTATAAGTTTTAAAATTGTAAACATTATAAAAAAATTGTACTTATTAAATTAATACTAGTTATTATTATCACCGTTAGTATAACCTAAACAGTAAAGTATTACATTGTAAACGGTAAATATATAATTTTGATATTAAATATTCCAGTTTTGGTATTTAATACATAAAATCTTATATAATAGCACTTGTTTGATAATTGTAAAATGTTATTATATAGTAAAAGCATAGCAGTTCTTACAGGTATATAACTAAAATTGATACGCATGCATTAATATATTATTAAATTATATTATATACAACACATTATAATTAGATAAAAATACAAATACATTTTTTAAGCGTAGTCATTGTCATAACCGAGTACATTATGATAACCATTAAAATGTTCATCTATTATATTTTCATAGTTCAGTATGTATAAGCTATTTTTAAAAATATTCGTATTCGTATTTAGTCGTATCATTTATAATTAATAATTTCATGAGGATGAGCAATAGTGCAATACATTATAGTTGACAATATAATAGTATGATAAATGATTAAATAATTATTTGAGTAAAAATTTATAAAAAAAAAAAAATACAACACAGAGCCGAAAAATCAACATTATTTATGTTTTTTTTTAATAATTTTCAATGCATTTATTTCTAAAAAAAAAAAAACATATATACCATTTTTACAATATTAAAATGTGTGTATATTAGTTATTTGTACAATAAAACATAGAGTTATACGATTCTTTTGATTCGGATGTGTTAGGCATTGTTTTAATACATATAGTACCGTTTCAATAATGTAATGTGTAATTTGCTCATTTCAGAATTATACATAAGATAAAATTCTAGGAATCTACTATATATCTGACCGTAATAGCCGTACATTTAAAAAAAAAAAGAAAAAAAAATTGCATCTAAATAATTTATACGAAAAACATTGGTTGGTTCGAAATACATGTTTGTAGTTTTTAAGCGCCGTATTTTATTCGATATAGGTTGGCTCTTCTACAATGATGAATATAACACCATGCACAATAACAATTCAAGGAGTATTTCATTAAGTCGCGATTTACGAGGGTTGTTCCAAAAGTAATGCACAGTGCGCTCTAGCTGTTTTGCAATATGAAATTTTCAGCTAATTTTTTTGATATCAGTTTATAGCTTGAATTCTATCGAACATGTTTGTTTTCTCATTTCTGTCTCCGGTACAGAAGGAAACACTCAAAGATATCTGCCGTGAATTCCTTTTTTTGCTATGAAAATGCTGGAAAACTTTCTTGACCGAATAATTGCAATATTTGAGACTTGGATTTGTAATTTTGAATCAGAATTAAAATTTCATAGCAATATTTGGAAGGGAAAAACATTACCAAGAGCAAAAAAAGTTCGTCGCCAGCAAACAAAAGTGAAACAAATGGTGATTTTTGCTTACGATAAACTTGAGATAATTGTCACTGATTGAGTTCCAATTGGCAGTGGTGTAAAATTGGGGATTAGTATTACAACACATTTCATACCAAAAAATTGCGATTAGAAATCCGTAAAAACCGGGAATGTTACTACATGGTGTGTTTATATTGCACGATAATACGCGGCTTATATCGGAGCTCTAGTCGTTGCTTTTTTGGAGAAATTTGTATGGAAACGCTTCAAACACCCATCGTATTCGCCGAATTTAAGTTCATCGGACTTCGATTTATTTTCAAAACTGAACCACTTAGATGAATCCGTTTCCCCACCTCAAATATACTAAATAAAGAAGTGAGCTGAAGGATCTTCCGTAAGATCAACAAAGATGGCGTTCTATGTGGCATTCAAGCGCTCTCAAAACAATGTCAATCGTGTATAGCCAAGTAGGGAGATTATATCGAAGGTTTATAATATTGTATTTTGTTTATATAAGTACTTATTTATTAAAAGTAAATTATGAATTACTTTTAGAACAACCCACGTATTTGTTGTGAATGAAAATAAAAATTATTATTGTAACACAAAGATAAACAAATACAATACTACAATTAAATAGGATTTATTCAATTTATTTAAAAAAAATGTATTTTTCGTATCCAGTCTTTAATCCGAGTCCGACTGTTCTTCGTCAACAAAATCCATAGATTTCGAACTGGAACTAAAGAAACTTGATGTATTGATTTTGCATTATTATTTTAATTTATTGTTGAATATAATTGTATCAGTATACCAATAGCAGTAAACAGTTAATAGATTAATAAATGGTAAATAAATAATTAATTAAACAGTAAATGTTTATATAATTCTCAATAAAGCATCACAATTATAATATTTCGTAATGAAATTGTTAGACTAGCAGATTATATATACGGACGAATAAATTAAATGTCTATATTTAACCCATAAATAAATTATTTTTAAAATCTTATTTTACTTAAAATCCCGATGTTATTCAGGATCATTTATCACGCATGGTACTGTTTAATAATAATTTCAATTGATAACATACCTCGGCGTTATAGTGGATAAACGGTTGCTGGCAGGTAAACTTGCTCTTTTTTTAGTTTCTTCCTGTAGCGATGAAAGGGACATGCAAAACGTCGATCCAATCTCTTTGAGCTGCCTAATCCCATAATGAAAACCCTAGAAATTATTCAAATAAAACGTTAGTTACTTTCGTAGTTTTCACACAACAACGACAGCAAACTCGCGATGAAAAATATGGCTGTTTATACTTTGTAAAGTCCTTCGTCACAACCGCAATAACTAGTCTCCAAAGTGTAACTTCTTTTTATACCATAACATCTCCAAGCAGTTATTCTTGCTGTAGTTTCCCGATTTCTTTCCACTTTGAATTTACACTGTGACAATGTAAAAGACGGACAGCAGTTTTGCATTAAGATCGGTAGTACCTGAAAAATAATTTATACTTATTATTTATTCATCCATGGAAATTCAGTTATAGATGTAACTTAAAAAGCTTTAATTTTGTGCGAATAACGATTGTGAAATGAAAAAACCATACAGATAGTTATAACGTCATTAATGAAATATTGTAATTTTTTGATTGTTTTTTTTTTTATGGATTATTATAATTCTATTATTTTATTAAATATATGTATGTATGTATGTGTATATATATATGTATATATGTATATATATTACAATTAAACCAGTTTGTTGTTCCAACGACTAACCATGAAATCCGTTTCATTTTCGTACTTGGCCAAATCCATTCGCAACCAACTTTTCTTCGCTGAACATCCGTAAAAAAAGCAATTTTTTCGATTCGAATGACCATGAAAATCACAATACATGTAAGGTACAGTTTTCATTATTTGTGTTATGTATTCCAAAATTCCCTAGAACATTAATGTTATTAATAAATATTAAATACAATTTTTATAATAGTAATATTTGACCTTGTAACGGAGCAATCGCCCAGACGAAAACAGCCTTTTTCAAGGTCACCAATTACACTATAAAATATATACACCGTACTATAATACACCACCAAACCGCAAAAGCTAACGAGAAACGAGAACGGATAATATCGGTATTTGACGATCACCAAGAGAATGGATAGAAAAAAAGGTATCTATATGGATAGAGGAGATCGAATTCAATACGTAGTTACTAAATTCATTCAGATTCTAGTAATATCGGCCAAGTAACAGAAGAAACCGTATCGCTAGCAAACACACCACGATCCAACGACAAGTTAGCTGGTTGGTACGGTAAAAGATATGTAGACCGAACGCAGCCGACGAAAGATATAAACATTCAAAATTCATGTTTAGCAATTCTCCTTTTGAATCTTTCATAACACGAGAATAAAAGGATTAAAAAGCCAACTACCAGCGAGCGATATCCGACATTTGACGACGGAAGTACACCACCAACGCAATGATATCAGGAGTAGCAAATATGAATGGTACACTGAAAACGACATGGGTACGAGACGGAGATAACGACGACCGGCGATAAAGTAGCTCCACGTCATCGACGTCGCAGCCATCTACGAGCGGCTAATCGTCCGTCGGTAAACATCCTGCCGAGCCGCCGACATTGTCGGGAAATCATCTGCGGATTTACACGCGATCCTTCCCGATAACACTGTCATTGGTTGGAATGTTATAAAAGATCACGTTTCTCGGTCAACCTGCCATCGCGACCCGCGACCATAAAGTCCTTTCTAAGGGCCAAAACACAACCAATACTCTGCGTGCTTATCCAAGTGATTGTCCACGCTTACACTATCGCAGCCACGTCTTGGTATCGCCTTCCCTATTAAACGTATTACAGATAGGATAAGCAAAACGAGCCCACTATTGTTATAGTCGGGCCTGATACCTGGCCACAAGATCCGAATTTAAACCCATCCATCTACCCATATGTAATTAGTGTATACATTTGATATTTAATAATTAAACACTACTATACAAATATAGCGTACAATGTATTTTACGAAGACAGGTATTCGAATATCAGAGTACCATTTCAACCTTCGTATTTATTTTACTTACAAAGCATATATAAAGGTATAACTATTTAACGTTTAACACAACAAAATTAAATTAATAGTTAAAAAAAAAAAATCAAAAATGATTTTTAATTGAAGGTATTTCTAGAACAGTATTAATTGATATGGCCTAGAATTGTTTGTAGTAGTTAAACCGTAAAATTGTATTCAGAATTTCTATTGTAAGACTATGATGTGATTTTCAAATGAATTTTTTTGTAAATTCTGATTTCTATAAGAAACGAGAGAATTATGTATAATCATATTCGTATCTATTAAAGACGAGTAAACGAAAACTTCTAAAATAACGTTAAATTTATTATTTTAGTCATAACCATACGATTAAATGAACTAGAATTAAATTCGTAATATCTGTAATTTTAATAACATTATTATAAATCATAATACGTTATTTATTTTGGGCGATTATTTAGACTTGAATTGAAAATATTTTGTGATAAATGATAATATGTTCTTTTGTTGTTTCCTACGAAACACTTTTGTGGGAAACGGTCGTCGTACAAAGTACTTTTATCGTTATTAAATATTTTTCTAAACTCCATTTGTAAGTATACCTACACATTATAGCCGATTATAATTGAGTTGAATTCGCGGTGACATCCGTACAATATAAACTATAAATCGATTTTATAAACACGTACCCGAGCATGAAATATTTCTGGATGCAGTTTTGGGTCGGGGGCACTCCATTTTCTGTTCAGGTCTTCGTTGGTCAAACCACATCGATAGCTAAAACAGATAATAATCAATAATATATAAATTATATCGTGTTTAAATATCCTTTTCTAAAAGATTACATTATTCGCTATTGTATCTTTTGGTTTTGTTAGTGGCGCCTGCCGATTTATCGATAAAATCACTGTGTCTGGGGAAATCAAAATGTTGGCGCCACTCGCCCGGCAGACAAACCCTAATTCAACGTATGATGTCGACTTAAAGGCAAACGAAATTTGCGAATCTTGCAACCCCCTACCCTATGGTTTTAGTTAAATCACATACGTGAACGCGTCGAAAATAACATTTATATTGATTTATAGTATCGGTCAATGATCGATGATCATAATATTATATGTCACTATTCCGATTCTCTTGGCTATTGTATTCCGACGATTTACATTGAAACTGTGTTATAAAACTCAAGTTGAGAATTTCATTACTACGTTGGTTTTTATTGGCTGTTAATAAAAATATGCGGTGACAAACTAACATTCCAGTTTGATCATTGATCTTATAATATACACCGGCGGTAACGCAATAATCAGTTGAATTAATATTACCGATGATTGTATGTTATAGTATTATTAATTCATTATAAATATATTTTAAATATATTTGTATGCTTAATATATATTTTTATGTAATATTTCATATATTGCAGTTAAAAATTAAAAATTTGTATTATAATATATTAATTATTTAAGGGCTCATTGAAATAGTATCCATGTAATATATAAAATTAAGCATAAATTCAAAAATAAGTTAGAAGACAACTTGATCAGCAATAGTATAATAATTACAATTAATTTTCATTACAAAATATAAGTATTTACTTATTATAAGTATTTTTGGGATACCTTGTTTTGAAAATTTTAAAATTTAAAATATTTTTAGTATTTAATTTAATCATTTTTCTATATCACGTTATTTTTGTAATCCTTGTATATGATTACTTAAATTGAATATTAATCAAGGTATAATAAAAACTATTTATTTCTATAATTTATGACAAATAAATTATATAGTAAAATAACTTCTATTTTTGCATTAAAATATAAATTATATTTATTTAGATATAAAACTTTCTTTAGGTCATATTGCATTTTTACAGAAATTCCAAAACTGTATATAATTTTACCAATTTTTTAATAAAATCTACCAATCACACGTGCTAAAATAATGTATTTTATTACGTTATCGACCATCATAAGCCATTAGTCGTTTTAAAATACGAGTTAATTTATAAATATCTATAAAAGGAATGTTTTTTTTTTTTTTTTAAAAAAATCGTTTTTCTTAGCAAAATTTGTAATTATTTTTATTTGGTCGCATCGAGACGTTAATTTTCAATCCCAACACGGAAATGTACGTGCAATATAATCTGAATAATTGTAATACAAGTGAATTTAATCAAGTCGATGTGACCGATGATTATATATTTTTTTTATTTTAAAAATTGCAACGAGACAATGGAACTTCGCTTATAACTTTATTTTACGAAGATCAAACGTAGTAACAAGAAATCCGTTCGAAGAACATTATGTGGTAAATTACGACTAATCACGATTTTACGTGGGTGTTTTACGATAAATGTGTTTTACACTCGAAACGGGATGTAAAACAATGCGAGAATTTTTAATAATTACATCACCTCGAGAAACATAATTCATCGGAGCTCGGATAATAGAATATGTTAGCGCGTTGAAGAATCTCCAATACACAATCGTGGGAATTTTTGTAATTCTCGTAACCGCCGTGACGCGCCACTGCTATTTTTTTCTTTTACAAACGTGTATTTTTAATATACGGAACGGCGTGGAATTTATGCATTAATTTGAAAAGATGTGCGAAAATTGCCACTTTAAAATGAGTACTTATTTATTAACTGCGACTAAAGAAATAATTTAAAATTTGAAAAATATGATGATTTTTCTCTATTTTAAAAGCTAGAAAACATCAAACTCACAAAATGTTGAACTAATATCAGATATTAATTTGTATTCGTATTCATTTAAAGACTCCAAAACTACGAACAAACCAGGTTCTTTACAATTAGGTAGATCTGGAGGCTTTAGAATAATTAAAATTAAATGTTTTGAAAAAATTTAGGAAAAACGCGGAGTTAAATTACCAGTAGCATTTTCATCATTGGTATAATACTCTTAATATTTGATTACAACGCAAATATATTAAAATAACTAATGTATAATATTATGTTATATAGGGTTATACATTTTTAACCATAAGTTGATTTTTTTTCGGTCGAGGTGCGCGTCTTTTTTTTTAATATATGAAATAATGATTTGTAGAAAAAAAAATGTATTTGTTACATATGTTAAATAATGATGTTTTTTAATATTTTTTAGTAATTCATTATATCCTTTTAATTGAATATTCTTCTAAGTAGTTCTAAAATGTCGAAATATCGAAATCAAAAGTCAAACCATCCGACTTAAAAATAATTTAAATTACCATTTGTGGTGTGTAATGGCAGAATTAACTCGTAAACGATTTCATGATATCATTGTTTAATTCTTAAATACCTATAAGAGTTATAAGCTAAAAGAAATGATTTGTTAAATTCTTACGAATCGTGATTTTTATGTAATACTAAACATTTAAAAGAATAATTGACAGAAAAAATTGTTTGCAAAAAATGTTGTGCGGTAAATTTCGAATAACGAAAGAATGCACTGAATACAAACATGTACTTAAACTGCCCAAGGAAATTCGCGTTTTAAAAACCATCCTGTACGCAACTGCTGGTAATTTGTAGATCATTACATCCGATTTAAAAGTCACATGTGAACGTGGAAAAATATACAATAACTATATACAACGACTATGGGCCGCCACTGCGTATGTTAAGACTGTTTAGAAGGAACGTAAGCCTACGGTAGATGTTTTAAACGATTAGATTCACATGGTTGGAAAATAAAACGACCGATTCACCGTCAACCCCGGGGGGGATTTGCGCGTAATAGATAATATTCAGTTATAATGGAAATATGTTGTCTATTGGTCTCGCGGTGGTCCGTCGGTACCGAATCGTCTGGCGGAATCCACGGTCTTTGCATATTATTATTGTTTCACAATTATTATTTTAACGAAATGACGTGCGCCGAGCCGTTCCGAGCAGTCGAAAACACACAGATATTATGTTCGTGCATCGTGAACTGTAGGGCCATTCTGATGGCCACCTCGGGGGTCTCATCATGTTAACATAACTCATTATGTTGCGGCTGTGTTGTGATTAGCGGCGATTTGTTACGGACTCGGAAGAAATCTGAATGCATGCATAATAATCGTTACAATATGCGCGGCGAGGGTTATTTTTTTATTTTAATTATTTAATTTTATTTTTATTATTATTAATTTTAATCTCGTTGCTGATCACACGAGATCTAGCGAGTATAATACACCGGGTCAAACGGCCCTCAGGAATCGCAGGCGCTCACTGTAGCACTCAGAGTGCTTTGAACTTCTCGACTTCGCGTGCTGCAGTAGTGTGCATGCGATTCAACTTAGTGTCCGTACAACGATAATCTAATAATAATAATAATAATAATAATAATAACGATGATCATCGGACCGGCGATGTGGCGATCGGAAAACCGTCTCACAACAATATTATTGCGTCGGGCGCACGAAGTCTTTTCACGTCGTCGCGCGAGTGAATACGAATCGAAACAATAGGAACGTAGTGCACATCCTAAGACTACGAGTCTTCTGACGTATACCGACCATATAATTACGTTCAGCGCATAATATTATACCTGCAGTGTGTGTTCTTAAGCGACGTGTATCAAATGTGGATGAATATGTCGCAGTGACGTTCGTTTTCGGATCACATTATTTTCTATTCGAGAAATGTATTATCGTGATAGACCGGCTTCGGGTACAGGTGGACTTATATATCATACGTCCATGTGCCAAGAATGTGTTACTACACGGTGTACGTCTTTGAATTAATAATCAGGGAATGTCACCAGATTCGATGAATTTATTATTGTGTTTAGGTACTTTGTATATCCATGAATACTAAAAATTTTGATTGTATTGTTTTTTTTTTTTTTTTTTTTAACAAAATGGAAATTCATATTATCAAGATAAATAGAAATAATACAACGAATCGACACGAAATATTTTTTCATATGAAATAGAAATAATCTTCAAAGCAATTCGCTATGCGTTTTATTGCTTCGGTGGACTTTAAATTATATTTTAATAACACTGAAGTTTTCGATAAAGTCGAAATAAAAGTACTGACAAGACGTGTACACGGGGAATGCTTAAAATTTCTTTTCGTCAAACCTCTCTACGACCGGACAAAGATTCGACAACGATTCAAAAACCACACACATACGTATTATAATCCTTCGCCAAACGTGCCTTATTGTGAAGGTTAAGAAATTAACGTCTTATTATTGTTTCGGAGTCGTATGATCGTTACCGTTGGTCTTTCGTTGCCATCCGAGCGAGAGCTATCTCTTAAACACACATGATTACAATAATGATTCTTTGGTCGACGGTGCGGCATAGCTGTTGGTGGTGGGGAGAGGGGTGTAGGGGGATATGGTGTTATAATATACGCCAACGCGCGTGTTGCCATTGTTCCCGCGACGAATAAAATTGTAAACGCATTTTAAACAGCCCGTTACAATAGACGCGTACGCGACCGAGGAGACGCGTTGCCCGTTTCCGGTAATCATTCATATCCTTAAAACGCACACCGGACGCCATCGCGCGGTACACCAGCAGTGTCTCTCAAACGGGTGTGGGTGGAGGGAGTAGAGTGTGTACATATATTATACGAATATATCGGTAAACTAGTACGTACGAAACATCCGGAAAATACTGCGAACCCCGGTCTGTTTCCGGTGTTTGAACACGGAATACTAAGCATATTACGATATGTTTTGCGATCGTTCGCGTCTGCTGGCGGCTTCGACCGTTGGCTGTTGCCGCCGCGGCGCAGAACGTCGAAAAGCCGGCTGTTCGACTAATTGCTT